TATTAGCATACACAATGTCCTGGGTTCAATCCTCAGTACCTCCTCCAAAAATAAATTACACCCCCCAAAATTAATAAAATAAAAAAAGGATTTATCAAAAAAAAAAAAAAAAGAGAGAGATCAAACCTCAACTCATCTATTTTGCTTTTACTCAAAGTACTGGCCCTGGGAGAAACAGTCAAGTTAGAAAATGATTTAAGACAGGAAAGCCACCAAATGTTAGAAATTGTTGGAGAATCAAGACGAGTACAACTGAAACAGTTACTGCCAATTCTACATTGCAAATCTATACTGCAGGGCTTATGAGAAAAAAGACCTTGCAGTGCACCTCTAAGTCCAAGAAAAAAAATGAAATATACTTTAGCAATAAGTTGACCACTTTAAAGCCTTTTTAAGTGTGTAATTCAATGAAATTTAAGTATATTTGCAGCATTGTACAACCTCCAACAATTCCCTCCATAACTTGTTCATCATCCCAAACTCTGCGTCTATTAAATAATAGTGTCCCATTCCTCACTCCCTGCTAGCCCCTGGAAACCTCTACTTTGTCTTTATGAATTTGCCCACACAACGTACCTCATAAGTGGAATCATTACAGTATTTGTGTTTGGCTTAATTCACTTAGCATCTTCAGGGTTCACCCATGCAGGCTAGTTGTCAGCTTTTAATGAATAATACTCCACTTTTTGTATATAACACATTTTGTTACCCATTTATCCATTGATGGGACATTTGGTTGTTTTTACCTTTTGGCTATTGTGAATAACAGTGCCATGAACACCGCCATGTAAGCTATCTGTGTAAGTCCTGCTTACAGTTCTCTTGAGTATATACAGACCTAGAAGTGGAATTGCTGGACATATGATGGTAATTCTAACTTTTTGACAGTGTCAAACCACCTCCACACTGCCTGCACTATCTTACATTCAGCAATGCGTAAGGGCTCCAATTTTCCCACATCACCAACATCTGTAACCCCTCCCCTGCTTTAGGATAATAGCCATCCTACTGGGTATGTTACATCCACTTTTAATTTAGAATTTCCTTTCCTCTGAACTCCCATAATACCCAGTAATGTCTTTCACCCAAGAGGTGCTCACTGCCTCCTGAATACTCTGTCACGGCACTCAAACCCTTTCTCAAAAATCTCTTTCATCAAGCTAAACGTCCACTTTAAAAAACACATCCAGTCTTCAGAACAAACTAACGCTGGAATACTCCACAATGTTATCTACATTAGGAATAATTCTACAAGCAGTATAACCAAAACCAAGTTTCCACTCACTGGAATACTGTAAACACTTCCACGGTGCCCTATAACCCAAGTAAGCTTAACGTCAACTTATCTAACTCTGCAACGGGATGCTTTCAAATTTCAACTCGATATTTTTATTGTTAACCTAAAATGTATAAGGAGGCACTGTTTACATCAATCATTATCACTTCACGGTTTGCTGCTTTAGAGTTCGAGTATTTTCACATACTCTCTCATTTAATTACAATTTTACAGAGCAGCAGCTGATGCTCAGTTTCAACAACTTTAGACCAAAAACATCAAAGTGCATTTCACCTACCGATTGTCCCTTTTTGTGCTTTCTTCTGTAGAGGACAGTCCAGTTGATCTGCCGAGGATTCCTCTTGGAAAGGAACGCCGACTCACATTTTGCATTAAGGAATTGGAAAACCTGTCGTGACAAGTTCAAAGTAGGAGTCTGAACTTGAAATTCTTAGTAAACTAATATTCTAGTTCTATCCTCTAATTTTGTAAAATTAAGGCCCACAGAGCCCAAAAGGTTTTTGCCACAGAACTGTCAAAAAACTGGCTTTGCATCTGATCCTGTCTTTTCTCCAAAGCAGACAAGCTTCATATCGAAGGGAAGGGTGGAGTGCCAAATTCTGGGAGGCATCTAGCTCCTGTCCTTCCATAAAACAGCCACATACCACGGCGGCCCACTTCCCTTACACCGGAACATTAAAGCTGCACAAGCTTCTAACTTACGATGTGATTCACACTCGATCAAAACTCAAGCCTCACTTACAAGCTTCTGATCCTAACAACCATTGCATACAGGATCCCCTCGGAGCAAGCCTCTCAGGGACCAAGAGTGATGTGGTAAAGGATCCCGCCCAGACCGAATAAGACCGGTCTTTCCTTAGAAGCACAAGTAGCATTTCACCCATGCGGCCTTTCACCTTCCCGTCTGTCCTGGCATAGCGCCTCCCGTGTCCTGGGTAGATCTTGTACCCGCTGAAACTGCACAGCTCGACCCTGTAATGAAAAACGAAAGCCCATTAGATGGGGAGGGGTGTCCTCGACAAGGAGAAGCCATGTCTGGGAAGCCGGAGAGGCACTCCGTCCGAAGATGGAAGAGGATTGGGACCGAGGGCCCCTGCTTACTTCATGGCTGCGTAGGGGCCGAGAGAAGGGAAAATGGCGAAGAGAAAGAAAGAATCATGGGAAGACGCCTTATAAGGTCGTGGAAAGCAACCTCCTCCCACAATCCCCTTCCGCAACCCCGGCGCTCTGTGATGACGTCATCTCGCCTAGGCAACAGATCTAGCGTTCCCCAGAGGCCGCCTTCCTCCGGAGTGATTGCCCTGGAGACGTCAAGGCTCTCCAGGCGATGGGGGAGTGACGGTCACGCAGGCAGGCAGGCCGGCAGGCAGTTGGTTTCCGAGTCATTCTGTCTCCTACATTCATGTGTCACAGAGCCGTCGTCCTGGTGCAGGGAATGTGAACTGAAGAGAAGGGGGTCCTCTCTTATAGTTCAGTGATGCACGGATGAATACTGCGCAGGTAAAACTGAAAAACTTAGTTTGCCTTCCATGTTGGCTCGTTTCCTTAACTAACAAAAGTAAATTGTAATAATTTACTTATTTGTAAAAAAAAAAAAAAGTAGTGATACCTGAACTGCCTCCCGGCCGTGGGAATGGAATTGTACTCGATGGCGTTTTGTATTCATTGTAATTAACATTCATTGAGTGCTTTCTCTGTGCCAGGACTCATGCTTAATTGTTTGCATACATTAATTCATTTAGTTTACGAAAATCCCTATTGAGCGCCGAAGTACTGCGGAATGACGACTGCCGGTGGGGGGAGGAGCTCGTTTGTTGGGCTACTGCCTACTGCTAGCGGAGAGCGGGTGGTTGCGCTAAGGATAAAGCCCTTGTCTGGAGAAGGCAGCTGTGATCAGGCCCGGGGGAGGGCCAATGACTTGATCGCCTGAACCCTTCTGTGATGCTAGATACTTAAGCATATGATGGGGAGTGGAAAAGGCGAGGCTTGAATTGTGTAGGATGCTGGAGCACTTGCCTATGAAACAAATAAAATGATTGATTTATGCTGTTGTTGGGGCCCAGAGCAGGCTACTCCAAAATGTGCCTCAATGCCATATTGGTTACTTTGAATTCAGGTTACTTAAGAAATGGCGGATGCAAGAGGGATACTTTGAACCTCCTCTCCGTCCCTCTGGAAGCAGGACATAAATCTCCATAACTCCCTCACTATATTGTACCAGAAGGTAAAAAGACATCATTATTACCATTATTACCAGAGGTAGAGAATTTGGGGGGAGAAACTTGTATAAACAAACTTTCATACTTCTTTATTAATTTACTACCCAAAGCCCAAAATTTGCTACATTCCTTACTAATTAAGCACCCAAAGCCTAAATTTCTTTGTCTTGTCAATTCCTTTCAAATGTGTTGTTTCTTTGTTTAAAAACTATAAAAGCTGCCTGCTTTATCCACTTCTTACTTAGGACTCATTTTCTACAAGACCTCTTTGCACACAAATTAAACTTGTTTCTTTTTCTCCTGTTAACCTGTTGTGTGTGAATTTTATTATTAGTCCAGCCACAAGAACTCAAGATGGGTAAAGTAGGAGGTTTCCCTCTCCCCGACACTCTCTGTATAAGCAACTTACCCTAAAAAGGTTCTGTAAGTAGGTGGTTGAAAAGCCTTGGAAAGTTCAATAAGCTGGTTGACTAATCTTAAGAAAGCTGCACACTTATGTTGGAAACACTGTCAAAAATGACTTAATAGAGATCTGAATGGAATTGCAAAACCTTAGCAAAGGAATTTGACAGTCTGATCAGCTCTGACCAGCTGTTGAGAATATCTAGTATACTTAGATGACTTTGTCTAAATAGACTATAGGCAGATGGATAACTCCGGCTGAACTTAACTCTGACATCCATCCAACTTTCTTTGTTTTAAATTACTGCTGATTAAACTATCACCTAAAAAACAAATCTTTCTGGAATAGTCCTGGCTTCTACAAACTCCAAGGCACAGCTGGATGTGAGTAGAGGGTGGAGCCAAGATCTCCTGCAGGAATTCAGACCTGTTTACTCCACAGAACCCCAGAATTTATGGTCCTGTCCCACGTATTTTGGAAGATTTTGTTCTTTTGGTCTTTGAATTATGTTTGTTCTGACCAGCTCTGTGGAGGAAGATCAGGAAACTGAGTCCTCAGGATTTTAGCTCTTTTACTCTTTTCTGGAGGGCATTCTGGAGCTGGCATTTCAGAGTTCTTTGTAACACATTGCATTTATCACGCCTTAAATTGTGTTCAAACACTCTTAGTATAAGAAGAAATTATACAGAAACCCCTAAAAGCATTTTATGTGGTGCCATAAAACAGAGTGTCCAACACCATCCATAAATTTTTACTGACTTTATTCTTCCTCTTTTACAGGCAAAAGGCTCAGCTGCATTTGATTTTCTTTTATGTATTTATGAAGCAATACTGAACCAAAGTTGGTGCTCTCTGGGCCTCTAAATACTTCCTGAGAACAGAGCATTCTCTTCACTGTTTCTTCACCTTTTATACATACTCGCCTGCTGTATTAGTATCCTGTGGTTGCTGGAACAAATTACCACAGATTTGTTGGCTTAAAGCATCGGAAATGTGTTCTTTTGCAGTTCTGAAGGCTGGAAGTCTGAAACCAGTATCACTGGGCTGAAATCAAGGTATTTGTGCTCGCTTCAGAGGCTCAGGGGCAGAACATGTTTCTTGCTCTTCTGGTTTCCACCCAGATAAACCCTTTTGAATTCCTAACCCATAGAAATGGTGAGATCATTAATGTTTCTTGTTTTAAACTGCTGTGTTTTAGGAATAATATGTGAACATAGCAATAGATAATTAATGCAGGAGGTAAGGAAATTGTGAAGATGGAGACTTGGTGAATAGTGGTATTTGTCAAAAGAGGACTGATAGGAGGAAGGAGCGTGTTTGTGAGGGAAAAGGTCAGTTTGGGAAAGACCAGGTCAGTGTACCCATCAGATGTTATGGTGGAGCTGTGTGGTGGGAAGATAAACAAGTTCAGAGGAGTGTTTGGAATAGGATATATCTTAGGAGTAATGGACCTATAGGTGATAGTAGAATATGGGGGATAACATCACCTAGTGTCACAGGCTGTCTTCTCTGGGAGCACTTATTGAGACTGAGTTTAAAATAAAAGAAACTTATTAGGGGTCAGGTCCTATGAAAGGAAGATGGAGGAAGCAGTATTAGGCAGAAGGTAAAGACATTACTGGCCCAATTAAACTTCCGTCAACCCTGCCATGAGCTCTGGAACAATCATTGCCTGTCAGATTATCCCTTTATGAGTCAAATAATCAATTCTCTTTATACCCCCACCTTGCTTAGTCAGCAGATGTGGGTTGCCCCAGAGAGTTTATGAGGTGGTTCTCAGCAGCTGAGCCAGACCCTACTGACAGCTGGAGAATGCTGCTGACTACCATGTCCACTGCTGGGCCACAAGCCCTTGCTTGTAGAGGGATCTGGAGAGTGCATCCTTGTATCTACCACCCCTGGAAAGAGTGGCTAGAGAGAGTTGCAGAAAGGAATTGGGAAGTACCTACATTTAAGGGATAGGGAAATGGAGAAAGAATCTACTGAAAGAGACTGAGGAGATGAGGTCAAAGGAAATAGATAGCCCTGACAGTCATCCCACAGAAGCCTAGGACAAGTTTTGACAGCATTAAAAGTCAGAAACAGTCAAAGACAACAGGAATGTGCAAACACGAATACACACTTTGGAACGACTTAGGTACCAATCTTAGTATTTCCTTCCAATATCATTCTCTTCTCAGGTGTGGGAGGGGTCCTGCCTTTTTAGTATCTACAACCACAGTTCTCAGCAGGCCAATCAATCCCAAGACTCTCAGGCGTTGGCTTCCAGGAGGGCTTTGAAAGGAAGGCCTAGTAACTAGATTAGAAAATAACTAGGTGTAAAAATTACTCAGTAAACACTTACGAAGCTTTCCTTAAAATTCTGAAGCATTATTAAATTTAAAAATTTTAAAACATTCTTTAAAAAAATCTAATCAAGCCTTCATACCTACCTACCAATTATGTGAAATGACTCCATAGGATTACAGTTGGCATCTACAGGATGACTTAACTTCTTCAACATCATGTAAATTGAAAGAAGAGAGAGAGAGAGACTGGAACCTATGAACAGGACGAGCTACATAAAGAATTTGCCAGGCCCAGTGTAAAATGAAAGTATGGAGTCCCTTTGTCAAAAAGCAGGAAAAGATGTCCTTAAAGGTACTAAAATTTATTTATTTCCTTTCTTCTGTAAGCTGTCTCTTGACCTTTCATCATATTTTTTCATTTGGTACTTAACATTATGCCCCCTCAAGGTAAGGACTTTGCTGGGCGGGTGCAGCCCCTCACAGGTACCCAGGGGCCTGCCTTGTGACTTGACAGTGTGTTTGAATATGCCAGGCCCACCAGCTCTAGGGTCCCCCTCCTTAGAGGCTCTGGGCCAATATACTGTGCCCCAGCAGGGCTGGAAAGCATCTCTTTCCACTGTCCTTCTGGGTAGGTATCAAACCACTTGCATAATGCATGATAGTGCTGCTAGCTTTGGAGAGAGCAGAGGAAGAAGGGAAGGACTGGGTCAGGGGAATGTCGAGCCAGCAGCCCTCTGGAATGCATCCCTAGAAAGAGAGGAGGCTGTAGAGCTGAGGCTCCACGCCCCGGGCACATGCTCTATTGTCCCATTGTACTTCACCTAAAAAAACACATAATCAAAGATAAAATTATTAAGATGTTCAAGGCTGTGACTGCAGAGCATTAAACTCCTGAACAAGGGACACTGTGCTGCTGCACTGACTGTGCAACTTGAAGTGGCTTGGCCTGCAGATTAGAAAAATTTTTAAGCCTCCTCAACCAATTGCAGTATATGGATTTTAATTCAGGCCTGATTTAACCAACCAAGCTGCAAAGACCATAGGGTAATTTGAATACTGACTGGATGTTTGAAGATGGACTGTTAATCCTTTATGTATTATAATTGTACTGTGATTCTGTTTAATGAAAAGAGTTCTTAAATTTAGAGATACATACTAAATATTTACAGATGATATAGCAGGATGGCTGGGATTTGCCTTAAAATAATCTGAGGGAGGGACTAGTGGGTAAGGGCATGGATGAAAAAATGGTTGACCAGGAGTGGATAATAGTTGAAGCTGTGTGTTGGGTGGGAGAGTTCATCACGACAGTCTGTATTGTTACGTAGTCTTTGAATTACTTCTCCATGATAAGAAGTTTCAAACAGTTACAAAGCATTTTGGATTGAAAGATTAAAGTCCCACATGTCAATCCTGAAAAACAGGAGGAATAAACACAACCTGTAGTATTTTGTAATAAAAAAGGTTTTAAAGAAAAAAACTATACAAGAATGTTTATAGCAGCGTTATTCATAGTAATACAGAAAACACTCCAGGTGCCCCATCAAAGGTGAGTATATAGGCAAACTATAATATGTGTTTATACAATGGACTACTACTCAGAAATAAAATGGAGTAAACTATTGATTTATACATCAATATGAGTCCCCAAAACATTATGCTAAGTGAAAGAAGCCTTATCCCCAAAAGTGCATACTGTATGATTCTGTATGTATCAAGTTCTATGCCATACAATGGCGGAAAAAAATTCAGAACAGTAGCTGCTTCTAGGTGGGAGAGGAAGGACTGAATGGGAAAGGGTATAAGAACTTTCCATGTTAAGGGTAATGTTCCATGTCTTTATGGGTTTGGGGTTAATTAAACACAGTCAGTCAAAACTCAGTGAATGTTCACTTAAGATTTGAGTATTTAATTGTATGTAAATTTTACTTTAAAAAGAAAAGAAACTAAATAAATACTGAATACTAGTTAAATACTTGTTGAGGTATATAGGGGGAGGTCTACAGACACAGCAAAAGACCAGATGGCTGGAGGAGGGATAGATGGATATATATGTGATAAAATAAGTATACCAAATGTTGATAAGAGAATCAAAGTGGGTTTATGAGTGTTCCCTGTAAAGTTCTTTCAAATTTTCTGCATGTTTGGTAATAGTTCATAATAAAATTTTGGATAAATAAAGGGAGCCATCTTCTGGAAGAAACTGGTATTACTGATTGGCTCAAAAAGGCAAGAGGAACGAAGTATGGCGCTTATAAAATTCTGAATGTAGTAACTGCTTATTACTGTTCACACTGTTGGTTATCACTCATGTGCCCAGCTGTCTTCTTTGGCTGGAAATCTTCCTCCAGTTTACTGGCTAAGTTCCTACTCAGATTTTATTTCTTCTAGAACAGAGGTTTGCAAATAGTGTTTTAGGCTTTGTGGGCTAAGAGGAAATTGAGAATATTTATATAGGTATTTATATAACAAGAGAGAAAACCAATTTCTATAATATGTTCATTGATGAAATTTAAAATGTAATTTTAAATTGTAAATTTAATATTGAGTATGTTTTTGTAAAACAGATCTACTAAAGAGAAAAATGAAATTCTTTTTTGAGGAGGTCCCAGGAGGATAACATTTCTCTTAGGGTTCAAAATTGTTCCTGATCATCAAGATCAACTGCAAATGTTTATCTGTTCATCCTGATCTATAATGAGATTTTACAACTTTCATCTTTAAAAAATGTCTTTGCACCCTGACAAATACTGCCTGCAATCCAAGCACATATGGTTTAAATTGAGCATATTAATGTCTTGGATGGCAGTTACAGAAATATTAGACTATTCTCCTGATATTTTCCTTTTAGCATGTCAGATTAATTATTTCCAACTGAAAATTAAGTGAAAGCTCCTCAATTGCACAGTCAAGTTGGTCTTGAAATAGGGAAATTTCCTTTGCATTTGCATTAAGGTCTCTACAACACTGTTAAAGCTAGTATGAACTCGAAAAATTTAGCCACTGTAAATTTATATGAAATTTGACAGCTTCCTTTTTGTTTTAACTTGCGAAAAAAATCATGTTAGTGATTATCAAAATGACTTTACCACAGAATAAGTTTTGTATGTGAGCGCTGCATCGTCATTAAGTCGAGTTCATGAAGAAGCATCATCACATGATCAAAATTAGCAAATAAGCAATAAACGAGTCCTAAAGCCATTCAGTCAGTGTTGCATAATAGTGGTTAAGGGAAGTTCTCATTTGGAAAAATTTCAGTCTTGGCCCCAAGGTAAAAAATTAATAAATAAAATGATAGCACTAATAAGTCAACAAATACTACGTGGTAGGGCAAGTCAGGATATTCAGCTGCTATTTCTGACAAAAATTCTTGGGCTGACAATGGTAAACCCACGAGAACAAATAAGTTTATCACTGACACTACTGGCTCAACACATGGTAGATTCAAATGTTTTCCACAAAAAACCTGCTGATTAATAATACAATGATGTTATAACCATAGGCTTTACACCTTACATTTTCACCAGTGTTGTAAATCTGTCAAACTAAATCTTTTTCTACTTTTTTAAGTAACAGATTCCACTTAGATGTACTGAATTAGTGTTTTCACTTCTTTAAAAATATTCTCACCTGTTTCATACAACCTATTCATAGAGGCTAATTCTTCAGTCACTTCAAATGTTGACTCCTTGAATAAATAGGAACAAAGGAGCAGTTTCAGTAACACCTGTCATATTAAGAGCCAAGGAAAACAGTTCAAAATAATTTGCCTCCACTAAATAATTTAAATTAACTATTGATATTGTTCCCAGTGTGCACAGCACTTTAAGCAGCTGTTCTCACCTAAGGCTAATGATCTTAGACAAGTTTATTTTTTCTAGATACATTTCTTCACCTGCTGCAATCAAATATTATTTGCTTACCATACCTTAAGTAAATAACTTTCCTTGCTTGGCTAACAAATGAGCCCCTTGGAAATTACTTTGCTTGCAGCTTAGTTTTATTTCTTTTTCTCTCTCTCTCTCTTTTGTGAAGAAATTGCACTATGATGAGATATTCTATTTACAGTTTCTAACTTTTCTGTTTTCTGTGATTTGAGAATATTGTGAAGACTGCTTAGTCTAGTCATGTATTGTTTTAGTACATACAGGTTCATTGCATAATAAACATAATGCTTCGTCATCTAATTTGTTAACAAAATAATCCACAGTTCACAGTACCTTAAAGATGGAATTTTTTATGCCTACATTTTTCCTTTTTTGTTTGACATGATAGGTATATGCTGGTAATAAAAAAAACAACAAAATGTCACAGTATGCCGATATACATGGCACTTGAAATGCTTTCAAGTAAAAATATGTTACTGTGATTTGTAGTGTGCAACAGCAGTATGAAGTGCCACACGTGGTCTCAGTCATGAGGACTCTTGTAGTGTAAAGGCCGCCATAGACAATAGGTGAATAAATAAGTATGGCTGTATTCCAATGAAGTTGTATTTGTGGACACTGAAATTTGAATTTCATATAATTTTATGTGTCATGAAATATTATTATTATTTTGAAATTTTTTCCAGTTGCTTAAAATGTAAAGACCACATTTAGCTGTAAACTGAACAAAGGCAGGCAGCAGGCTGGAATCAGCCCACAGGCTATAGTTTGCCAACCCCTGCAAGAGAATTATCTGTGTAAAGTAGGCTTTTGAATTTATTATTTCATTTGAGGACATGGAGAGGAATTGGTATTTTAGTTTAAAGAGGTTGTTTTTCATATTCCTTCTGTATTATAGACTTTGTGTTGTAGCTAAGTGTGAAAATCGTAGTGATTTCAAAGTTTTGAAAGTACTAGTATTTTTTTTTAAACCACGTCCCCACAAATTGGAATAGCGTTGAAGTCCTGCATGGATCCAAGGAGCACTTTTTATTTTTTAAATTTTTTTTAGAGGGATAATTTGGTTTACTTATTTATTTTTTGGAGGAGGTACTGGGGATTGAACCCAGGACCTTGTGCATGCTAAACATGCACTCTACCACTTGAGCTATACCTTCCCCCCAAAAGTAGTAGTTTTGAAACTTTAAAACTTCAAAGTTATCAGTATATTAATTTCTTTCAAATATAAATACTCATCCTAATTAGAAAATCTCCTTTGTTTGTCAAGATAAATTGCACTATCCACAAATGTTGTTCCTGTCTCCTGTCTACCTAGTCTCTTGACTTCATGTTATCTAAACTTGTACATAATACTCTGAAACTGCTCTGTAAAAGGTTACCATCCACTATTACAAGTCTCCTTCCTGCCACTACTCTACTTTTCAGTTCATCCTTGTTTTATGAGCAGTTTAACCTTTCTAAAACAAGTTGCATTCTTTCAGTCCCTCAGTCAAATACCAAATGAAAACTAGTGGGAAGTAGTGTGAGACCAGATTATGGTGGCCCTTAAAGTTGAATTTCAAGAGAAGTTTTTGAGGAGGGGATTAATATGATAAAAGGTATTGTTTCACTTAGATCATGCCAGTAGCAGTGGGCAGATGAATTAGAGATGGGGAAGATGAGTCAGGAGGATCAGATGTTGCAGAGATCAAGTATAGTGTGCTGATAGGAGGGAAAGTCTTGTGGGACCTGTGCCTGCCAAAAAACGCTACCTTGTTGAGAAGTTCATGGTGTTGGTCAGCTGAATTCTCCAAACTGATTGGAGTGTGCAGGGTTTAACATATATACAAAATGAAGCAATTCATTTAAAGTGTAGCGAACCTGACAAAGCTCTGGTTCTGCTATTGCTGTAAACTTGTAGGAACCTGTAGTTCTCAAGTAACCTCTGGGCCTCCAGGATCTCCCTCCCAAGTCATTATCCTGTAAAACTGGAGGGAATTTTCTGCTTTCCTGAGCTAGAGACTCTCCTCAATCCTCACCAGCTATTCCAGGGAACAAAAGTTAGTAGGAGGCAATATTCAGGCTTGCTTTGTTTTTATACCTACATAGCAAGACTGTGCTTTTTAGATAAGAGGTCTCTTGGTTAAAGGAAAAAAATTCCTAGTGTTAATTCCTTTCAGAACTAGGAAATCTGTCTTCAGACTGAAACAGTGGGAAACAGAGTTAAAAAAAAAAAAGAGTTAAGGCAGGTGTAGCCATAGAGACAGGAGGAGAACCCAGGACAGGGAGAATGCACACACCATCAATTGCCTTGAAAATACAGAAGCGTGAGTTACCGCATTTTCCCAAACAGAAATTATCAGAGATTTTCTTTTATATCAGAGATTTTGAACACTGCTGTTTCAGAAAGAGAAAAATTCAGAATACAGATTGCAAGAGGGGATGGAGGAGTGGGTAGTAGAAATTGAAAGCTCCTTTTCTACATTCTGTGGTGCTATCAGGTTATTTTTTCACTTCCTGTGAACGCAGCTGCATTACCACCTGCCTCCACCTGCGGCCTGTGCTGATACCTTTTCATCTTCTACTTCTGAACTGGTTAGAGTCTACCCATTTTTTAAGCCTTAGCTCCGTTTCACTTCCTCCTTCGAGTCTTCTCTGAAGATTATAGTTTCCATTCCCTGAAATCTTACTGAGTTGGTAGTTACAGTCGCGCTAGTTAGCATGTAATAGTTACAGCAAAGTGTAATCCTACTCCCCTCCAGCTAGGCAGTGTAATTTTTGAATTTGGAGAGTGTATTGTGAACTTCTTTTGTAAGCTTCCTTGAAAAATTCTAGGTTTATCCTTATTAAATACACCTCCATAGCTAAAATTCTGTTAAATAGTCAAGAACAACCACTTTAAAATACTGTATAAAAAGCTCCTATTCCAGCAGACTTTAAATAAGTTTTCAAATAAAATGTATCCATTTTGACTATGTCAACGATCGCCTATAGCAGAGTTGAACACTTTGCACTTACACAGAATTTTCAAAAGAAGGGGCAGCCCCCCGTTGCTGGAAGTCTCAAGCAATGAGTTCTTAAATTTGGTCTGCACTGAGTAGAGACCTTATAATCAGCCCGTTGATAAGAGTGTCAAATTTCCAAAACACCTAGAAAAGGGAGTGAAGTGATCATCTAACAATACAGTTTGCTCGTCTGCCAATAAGAGTGTTGACCAAGGTTCCTCCTAAACTCACTGCGGCTCAGATTCTAACCAGGGTTCTGCATCGTTGGGCGTAGGCAGCCGATTGGGCCGTTTGGGAGCCGTGCACCCTGGGAGCTGTAGTTTCTGGGTCCCTCCTCCCGCCTACAAGCTCCACAGAGCAGCCGGAGGACGGTTGCTTGGTATTGTTAGTAAGCGGGAAGTATGGCGGCGGCGCGCGGCGGCGCGGCTTTGCCTCCTGGAGAAGGTAAGGCGATCCCTACCCCTGGGCCCCAGGGTTTACTGTGTGGAACTGAATTAAATAATTTTCTGGTGGAGAGGAGACAACTGGGTTTGGGGTGCAGTTCTGGACCAGTCCTTTGGATGAGGGGCTGTGGGCGTGCGGAGGCGCGCTGCCCTCTGGGAATTGTAGTCCCAGGGCGCTGCCGGGCTCTCCGGCGTCGCGGCGAGAACCGAGCGGGGGGACTACAAGCCCCCAGGGACCTTTGCGCCACCTGGCGTCCCGCTCCCGCGCTCTTGAGGTTGCTTGGGCGGTGGGTTTCGGGCTGCGGTGACCTTTCTTGGACGTTTACTTTGAGTTCTGGGTGCCCAAGTGAAGACTGCAAGATCTGCCCCTATCCCTTGGATTCCTAGAACGTTCAGGAAAACCCTCTCTCAAACACCTCTCCTTAGATTGACGTTGACCCCTTCTTGGAAGTGTCCGGTGGCCGTTATAAAATCCAGGGGTGATCCGGAGCCCACAATTCTGTCTCCCTCGTTCTGCAGACGGGGTCCTGGGATCTGGTTTGGTTGCTGCCCAGCAGAGCGTGGGGTGTGGATGCTTCTGTGGCCGGGAGCCGAGTTCCTTTGTTTTGGTTACAGCTCGGAGGCTCTGGGTCGAGGGAGGGCGGAGGGTCGAGGCCTGTCTCCACGGCTTAGAACTGGGGCTCATTACCAGGGGGCCGTAACTTTTTGGGAGGGAGGTCCCGAGAGGTTTCTCTACCCTTTGGAATTGCGTGCAGCGGCTGTGCATTTTCCTGGGACGGTGTGTATCTTTGACTAAATTCTCAGAATCCCGTGACCCCCAAATGCTAAAAGCCCTAAGACAGTGGGAAAATGTTGAAACCCTTCAGGAGAGAAATTTCGCGTAATTTTTTCCCGCAGTAATCTTAATCTGGGTATAAATTTGAAATTGGCAGTTTCTCTGGCTCCTCCCTACTCTGATGTCTGCTTCTCTTAAACTCCACCTTCCTAGCCCAAGAAAATTTACTAATAATAGCAGTTAACATTTATAGAGCGCTTTTTACATGAGCCAGACTATGAGTGCTCTTTTTTAATCTAATTTTTTTCCTCTAGAACAACATTGTAAGGCAGGAGTTACCATCATGATCTTACAGAGTAGAAAAAAGTGAGCCCAAAAGAGATCAGTAACTTGCCCAACCACAGTAGTTAATTGGTGGAGCCCGGATTTGAAGATATATTCTGAATTACTTCATCCAATGCTGTGTGCCAGAAATGGGCTTAGTGCTGTTCGTGTGCTTTTTCTTTTCATCCCCATATCAATTTAATGAATTGAAGATATTATTCCCATTTTGTAGATAAATTAACTATAATTTGATTTTCAAAATAGTTTGGGCACTTTACTGTAGTTAGGTTGTGAGCAGATTGGTCTCTATCAAAAGATTAATTCCATTAAAAAAATACTATCACTACTTAGGCACACAATGTGGAAGTAATAGTTGATATTGGAATATGAAGAATTCCAGAGTATTATATCATAGGAACTTGAGTAGTATATCACAAATCTAGGTATAATTTGATATTTCTGAGGGAAAGTGAATAATTTCAATCTATGGTCATTTATAAATCCAATGCTTTAGTTTTAAAATCTTAATATTTATTATGCTCTAGTGTTTTCTAACTCTAAATGTATAGAGTATAATTTTACCCCAATGCTCAGCTGTTGTATTTGTGTTTTCTAACAGTTTCCCTTCTCTTTTCAAGCATCAGTGCTCAATTGGTCAGGGCAGGGGCTGCAGAAATTAAGTCCAAACTTACCCTGTGAAGTTGATGTTCATACTTTGATTCTGGATAAAAATCAGATTATTAAATTGGAAAATCTTGAGAAATGCAAACGATTAATACAGGTAGGTATTGCTATGTGAGGGAAATAGTTACATAAGACCAGTTCATTATTATTATACAAAATAAAACAGTAAAATAACTTAACAAAAAGTACCTCTGCAAGCCTGGAGAGCAGTAAATGTTGCCTTAAGTTTTAAAAAAATTTTTAATAACTAAAATAAATTTATTTAATAAATGAATAACTTAATAAATAAGTTTTAAATTTTAATTTTTACATGACATGATTATTAAATGATGATGTTTAAATTTCTCCTGAAGATGAACACATAATGTACTGCATTTAGAGTAGACTAGAAAAAGAAGCATTTGTTTAAAAAGACAGTATTTTATGTTGGCAAAATATTATGTTGTTAAGATGATCTTGTATTTCATAATGGGGCTAAAGAGTTCATTCATTCATTCATTCATTCATTCATTCAAGAAATGTTTATTGGGCCCTTATGTGTGTGGCATTGTTCTAGATTTTGATGGAGACAGTATGAGGACTCCTTTATTGTCGAACTTACACTCTCAAGTAGTTGCTGTGTTAAAAATGTTTTCTTTTAGTAGCTGAAGGAGGTCTGCTCCACTTTATCTGTATTTTCCATTACTTAGGAAGAACAACAACAAACTAATAGTTACAGTGTAGGATATTTAGACAATATGTGTGAAAAGTACAAATTGGGGTTGTATATTTGGGAATGTTTGACCATATACAGGAATCTTTTTTTACCACCCTCATGTGAAAGTAATATTTATATTTTACTCCTGAGAGTAATGATATGTTTTCATTCCACAGTTGTCAGTGGCTAATAATCGGCTAGTGCGGATGATGGGTGTGGCCAAACTGACCCAGCTCCGAGTGTTGAATTTGCCTCACAATAGCATTGGCTATGTGGAAGGGCTAAAGGAACTAGTACATTTGGAATGGCTGAATTTGGCAGGAAATAATCTCAAGGTGAGTTGTTTCTTTTCTTCTTCTTCTTCTCCTTCTTCTCCTTCTTCTTCTCCTTCTTCTTC